CCGTGTAAATAAGCCACCCCCACACTCACTACCTCAGTTATCCAGCTAGCCAGGATTCACTGGGAACAGTTCCAGGATGAGGAATTCGGTTGTGAAGCTAGATTGGAGGAGCTGCGACAGGTAGAATGGGTGGAGACAAGATTCAATCCGGGTGTTCACAAAGCACATGGGGTCTGGAAACAGTAATAGAGTCATAGCGAGGTAGAGCACGGAAACGGACTCTTCGGTCCAATTCGTCCATTCCGACCAGATATCCTAGTCCCGTTTGCCAGCATTTAGCCCATATCCCTCTAAACCCTTCCTATTCATGTACCCATCCTGATGCCTTTTAAATGTTATAATTGTACCAGCCTCCACCATTTCCACTGGCAGCTCGTTCCATACACGCACCACCCTCTGCATGAAAAAGTTGCTCCTCAGGTCCCTTTTAAATCTTTCCCCTGACGGAGCGGGCTGGAGGGGCGGAATGGCTTGCTTCTGTTGTCCTTTCTTATGGTCTTATCCCTCCAGAGGCAATAACTCCTTCCTAAGGTGTGTGGCCCAGACCCTGATTGAACATTGTTACCCCAGACATAGTGAAACCAGAGAGTTGATGAACTTCAACATAACCTCCTCTCCTTTGTATGAGCTAAGGCCATTGCTTCTTTCAATTCCTTTTAAACAAACTCTGCATTTTGAAAACTTGTCATTTCCTGTTCGAGCTGAGGCTATCAAGTCCCTTGCCTAGACATGCCCAGCAACAGCTAACAGCCTGACATTGATACTGAGTACTGTGCTCTGACTGACGAGGCCTGCATGTGCTGACCCCATTTTTCAAGCTGCAGTCGCTGGGAAACCAAGCTGGCTGCATTTCGGGCCTGTCAGGCCTTCGGTCCCCCACGGTTTTGTCAGAGTTAGGTAGGTCAGGATGCTGTCTGCAGCTTTTCCTTTTGTCTCTGCTTGTCTGCTGGGAGTGTTCGCTGAGGCACTTCTGGTGGAATGATTGAAATCTTAGTGTGATCCTGTGATCCGTGACCTTGGCCAGCTCTGCTGTGTTGTACCAAAGTCTCGACACTCTCTCCACAGCAGAACAGGCTCCAGTCTTTGCAGTCCCTCAGGAAAGAGATGATCCTCTGAGAGCAAAGCAGGCTCACACACAAAACACAAACAGCACAAGGTGTCAGGGCCACCTCATCCAGTGCAGCGCTGAGGGAGGGACGCGCTGTCGGAGGGTCAGCACTGAGGGAGGGACGCGCTGTCGGAGGGTCAGCGCTGAGGGAGCGCCGCGCTGTCAGAGGGCCACTACTGTGGGATCTTTTGGGTTCATGTAAATGATCCTATGCACATTATTTGGAAAGGGTGGGGGATGGGGGCAAGATATTCAAAGTTAACCTCAGTCATGAGACGAATTGAGTGCCACGTTCAGTTTCACACTTCTCCAGTGACAAATCTTGACGTAAACACTGACTCAACCAGGACAGACCCATGACTGAAACTGCGCTGAGTTAGCAGGATTTCACTGGGGCAGCTGGTGTATTATTTGGCCTCTCCGCCAGTCCCACTGTCCCCTGCAGCTTCAGGGAAATAGGAGATCAGGCGGGTTTCTGTACCAGGTAGCCGTCCTGTGTCTCCTGTATAATGGTGATGTGGAGCCCCATGTGTGGGTTGCAGGGATGCGAATGGCATTCAGGAAAGTATGGGTTGGCCGAGTTGTCATAGAATGGAATCACATTATGTTTACTGCATGAACAACAAGGTCATTCTGACCATTGTGCTGTTGCTGGCTCTCTGCAAGAGTAACTTGCCATGTCTCATACCTCTGCTCTTTTCCCTGTTAGCCATTTGGCCCCATAAGTCTGCTCTGCCATTTAATAAGACCGTGGCTGATCAGATTATAAACTCAATCCGTATTCCCCCCCCCCCCCCCGATAACCTTTCACCCCTTGCTTAACAAGAACCTATTCACCTGTGGCTTAAAAATATTCAAGGACTCTGCCTTTTTAGGAAGTGAAGTACAAAGACTTACGACGCTCTGAAAGAAAAAATATCTCCTCATCTCTGAATTAAATAGATAGCCCCTTTCGTAAGAAAAATCAATCTCTCCACAACCACCGTGTCAGGGCCCCTCACGATCTTGCATGTTTCACTGCAGTGGCTACAAGTCTAGCCTAAACAACCTTTCATCATACAATCCACTTGAAAACAATACATTTTCCTTGCTCACTTTTTGCCAATTTACTTTTAACTTGTGCCATTTTGTTCCTGATCTTTTTGCTAATGGCAACAGGTTCACCCTGCATACTCTGCCCAGAAACCTAATGATCTTATGGTTATTGTTAGCAACCTGTTTGAACATATTACAGCAGGCAGCTGGTGCTTGAATCTGGGGCTTCTGGTACAGAGGTTGAGATGCTACCACCTCACCACAAGATCCCTGCTCATGATCTGTACATCTCTATCCAATCCCCTCTTAATCTTCATCCAGGATTTGTGTCTGAAAGAGGTCCCCCTGTCAAATCAATGGAACTGTATCGCTACCTGCAAGGTGTAGACTTGCAGAAAATACCTGGAAATTTAACAAGGTACAAATGCTGGTCTTGGCAGGGAAGGTGAAAAACATTGCATAAGGGCAGACTCAAGGGGCAAGGGGTCTGGCTGTAGGAAGCAAGGAGTTGTCTCAGTTCTCCACATCTGTCACCTTCCCATTCCACCTTCTCCATGGCTATCACCCCCAGGAAAGCCCACTAATCCACCATGCTCCAGCAGGAGCTGTGACAGGTCACAGAGCCTGGTTCAGAGCGAGGGGAATGTCCCTTTAGCCAGCATTCAGAACCTGGGTTTCACCTCTTAGCATAAAAAGAAAAATCTTATTAGCCAGTATTTGGAGAGGATTTGGAGATCAGGCTGTAAGCACAGCTCAGAGTATTCCACAGCCACTTGGATTAATGTTTCTATAGAGACTCTCACCACGCCACTGCCCATACGGCTGCAATCTGTTGGTGTTCTTGAACTCAGCACAGAGGAGTACAGAATAAGCTGTGTGAAGCTGGAGAATGACATGGAGACATGGAGGTGATTACTGTCTTCCCCTTGCTCTCTCCAAGTTTGTCTGTCTGTTTGTTCTCTCTTCTAGTCCACTCCTCATACAAGCATTCTCACTCCTCGCACGCTGTCTATGCCACTCCCCCTGCCTGCTGTCTCTTTACTCCTTCACACACACACTGCCCTGCTCTCACTCATTGCCCCTCGCGCTCTCTGTCTGCCAACACACCAACACAGGTGTACACCCTTTTTCTGCCTGCTTCTGTCTCTCTCTTGCTTGCTCTGTTCCTTCTGTCTGTTTGCACTTCACTGTCTCCCTATTGCCTCTTTCATTAGTTGTCTGTGACTGCCACTTTTGATCAGTTTCCTTGCTCGCTCTCTGGCCTGCCCCGCTCTCACTCGTGAGCTCTGGCCTGCCCCGCTCTCGCTTGCGCGCTCTGTCTGCTCCTCCCGCTATCCCTGACCGTCTTGTCGCTTGATCTTTTATCTGCCCTCTAGTTTGCTCACTGTGTGTCTGCCTCTCTCAGTTTGCCTCCTGTGTTGGCCTGACTTGCGCGCATTCAAACTTTTTCTGACTGCCTCCTTGCACTCTCTCTGTCTCTCTGCCTCTAACTTTTGTAAATCCCTCCCCAAATTTTTTTTCTCCAGATTGTTTAGCATTGGAGTGATAGGATTTTAGAAGCTTTGATTGGGGTTAGGCTCCAGATTGCTTCATCCTATTTCAATGTAACAGGCTCGAGGACTGGAATGGCCTGCTCCTGTTCTGGTGAATAAAAGTTCCTGTGGGAGGAGGGGAGGGGAGAGAGAGACATTTTTAAGCAAACAAATTAGCTGTCCCGATCATAAACCACTCTTCCTCCTTTCAAGGGCCACCTGCATCCTGTTCCTTGAATACAAAATGTTGAGAGTGAAAAAAACAGCAGAATTGTTTTTCCTACTGGCTGCAACTTGCTGATGGCAGAGTGGGGAGATTCAACACTTGTTTGGCTGGGAGGGATTTATATTTTTGAATGCCACTGACCCGCTCTCCGTGTGTTAATCTCAGCACCATATTAGGTAAAATTGTGGATTCCTTCAGGCCCTGGTCTCCAGTCTCCAGGGGAATTCGTTCTCCACGTTGTTTTTCTCTGTGTTCAGTCACTTCCAGAGAGGAAGGCGGATTGAGGAGCTGTGCTTCTGTCGGTGATGGGAAAGATGTTGGTCAAAGTTTCTTGACTGTTTTATCCTGTTGTGACAAATAGGCTTCAGGAGGGGAAGGGGGGAGCAAAGTGAAAAGGCCGTTTTTGTGACGCAATTTGATGTCAGCGTTCTCAACTTCCAAATTTCAATTTTGTATGGGTTTCAAACTGAGATTGAACAAATTTGTTTTCCCATCATTTTCTTTCTCTTAATCTTTCTCACTTGCTGTCACTCACTCTATTTGTCTCTGCCCTTCACACTCTTGCTCACTCTGCTGCTCACACTTTCTTTATCATGCATCCTCTCACACTTTCCTGTGCCCATTTCGCTGTGCTCTCTCTCCCTCATGCTCCTCTCTCACGCTCCTGTCTCTTGCTCCTCTCTCTCTTTCACACGTGCTCCCCCTCTCTTGCTGATGCAGTCTTTCTTTATTCCCCCTCTCTTTTCACTTTCTCTCTCTTTGCTCCTTCCCTTCATTTGCCTTCCCCTCCCATTCTTATTGCTGTCTCTCATTATTTTGCTCCCTCTTATTTGTCTCTTACTTACTTTCCTTGTGTTATTAACTTGCTTTTGTTGTCTCTTGCTTTCTCATTTTCTTGCAACTCTCCATTTCTCTTTTTCCCTCCCCTTGGTTCCCACCTTCTCTTTCTCCCAATCACTGTAGCAAAGGAATGTTGCTGGGGATTGAATTTTGATCAGTTCTCTTGCTTGAAGGGTGGAGATTTGGTGGTGCCAGCTCTTAGTGAGTCATACATGGATGTTAATAATGAGATGTGTGATGTGTGTGTTTGACCCATTAGGACTTGGTGATGTCTGGCCCAACTTGGCTTCCTCCAAAGTGTAGCAGTAATCTTCCTGAAAGCAGTCCCGCCCCGGTGCTGGGCACTCCCTCCGTCTCCGCATCGACCATTTACCGGGAGCAGCAGAGACTTGAACCCACCAGCAGTGCACTCAAATCCAAGCAGAACCTGTACGTGCGAAATGGCAATCTGAATGCAGGAGGGCCAGTACAATACACAGCGCCGCTACCAGGTACCCAGCATGGCAAACACCACTAGTCATGGAGATCACTCATTAACATTGGTATCTGTGGGCTAGGGCAGAAATCCTCGCAGTGTTCAGTATTTTGGGGGGTAGTTGTTACAATCAATCTAGCCCATTTCTGTTCTTTAGGGGGATGTGGGCGTTGTTGGGGGGGGCTAGCATTTTTTGCTCATCCCTAATTGCCCTTTGAGAAAGGTGCTGGTGAGCTGCCCGCTTGAACCCCACTGTAATCCTTGGGGCATAGCAACAACCACACTGCTGCTAGAAAGGGTGTTCCAGGATCTTGACCCGGTGACACTGAAGGAGTGGTGATGTACTTCCGGGTCAGGGTGGTGAGCGGCTTGGAGGGCAGTTTGCAGGCGGGCATGTTCCTACATTTCTGCTGCCTTTGTCCTTCTAGATGGAAGAGGTTGAGGATTCGGAACTCACTGTTAAAGGAGCCTTGGGAGTTACTGCAGTGGTTGGTGTAGATGGTACCGTGCTGTGCTATTGGTGGTGGAGGGAGTGAATGCTGAAGGTGGTGTTTGAGATGCCAGTCAAGTGAGTTGCTTTGTCCTGGATGGTGTCGAGTTTCTTGAGTGTTATTGGAGCTGCAATCATCCAGGCAAGTGGACAGTATTCCATAACATTCCTGATTTGAGCCTTGTAGATGGTGAATAGGTTTCTGAGCAGTGATAATGCCATTAACTGTTACAGGGAGATGGGTAGATTCTCTCTTGTTGAAGCTGATCATGTCACGGCCGAACCACGTCTGAACACTGTCATGCTCTTGCTCTGTGCAGTTTCAGTATCTGCGTTCACTGCCTGTTCTCTGCATGCATTTTTCCAGTATCTGAGAAATTATAATTGAGGCAGACCCATTGAGTAGTTGTTTAGGACTGAGCTGAGAAATTCCTTTACACAGAGTGTTGTGAATCTTTAAAATTCTCTGCTCCAAAAGGCTGTGAATGCACCAACTTTGAATATATTTAAGGCTGGGCCCAACAGAGAATCAGGGAACCAAGAGAGCTGGGAAGTGGACAAGGAGGTAGAACGGAAGCCCAAAATTAGCCATGATTGTATTTGAATGGTAGAGCAGCCTTGAGGGACGTGAATGACCCACTCCCACTCTTGTTTCTTGTGTTCTTGACACCGTTGGAGCACAAGTGTGGAATGAGGACAGTTTTACTGACTAAGTGGAAATAGGTGGAACCCTAAGCAAGAGGCTGGATGAATTTTTACTTCATTTGGGAGTAGGCTGAAGGAACCAGATGCTGTCGAGTGATCTGGATTTCTAACTCTGAGCTATCTCTATTCCAAAACAAAAGTGACAGATTTTCATTTCTGCAGTGCCTTTCACCGTCTCAGCATACCTGAAAGCGCCTCACAGCCAATGCAAGTCGTTCCGAATTGCAGTCACTGGTGTAATGTAGGAAATGGGGCAGCCAGGTTGTGCGCAGCCAGTTCTGTCTAGCAACATTGTGCAAATGAACAGATCATTTTTCAAAGGCGTTGGCTGAGAGATGAGTATTGCCCCAGGGCTTGGGAGAACTCCCTCTGGTTGTCTTTGCAACAGTGCCATAGATTTTTTACGTCCACCAAAATGTTGATTTGTCTGTGTGTGTTTGTGTCAAGGTGTATGTGTATCTTTATATGTATGTCAATATGTGTGCTTTGTGTCTCTCTGCATGTGCATGTGTCTTGTACGCATGTATATGTTTGTCTTTGACACGTATATGCATGCATTGGACTAGGCTGATATGCGTCCTAAGCTTTCCCTGCCCCAATTTTGGACCTACCCCTGCTGTCCTGGTTTCATTTAAAACTGTCTTTGGAATTTTCAGACTTCCTTTAAAGTTAAAGAACTGTAATATTTCCCCTGTGTTTATCCTGAATTCTGAATTCTGTTCAGCACCCCTATGAGAGAGTTTGGATCCCGGTCCGGATTTTGTGTGTGTGTGTGTTGGGGGGTGGGGGTGGGGGTGGGGGTGGGGGGAGTGTTGCTGACATATTTCCCCCTCTTGGGGGAGCAGCAAGCAGACGAATGGAGGATGAACTTGTACTTGAAGTTGGCCAGGTCCGCATAGGCCATCAGACAGAGACGGTGGGGCTGCGCAAGGTCAGTAGTACACGCTGGTGGTTTGTGCGCTCAGTTCTGCAAAGGGTTAATCCCCGTGGCATGTCTGGAAAATTCCTCTGCTAAAGGAATCGCTTTCCTTACAAGGACATGCAAAGATTGAAGGAATTGTACTTCAATGACGCATTCTGAGGCCAGACGTCAGTTTCAACCCAGTCAGTCTGCTTTCTCAGGGAAGTCGAAAAGGTTGTTGTTTTAACATTTGATTAACTCATCATCCCTCCCTTATCCCATGATCACCTGCTGCCATTGGAATGGCAGAACACTCGAACAGGTTCCCACCCTCCCGAGTCAGCTGAAATTGACATGGTGAATGTTTACACGAATGAGGATCAGTCGGTAACACTTCCACCTGTTAGGTTGAGCCAAGTTCCATTCTGCACTTCAGCACACAATCCAGAGCAGTACATCTGTTGCCGGTGCTGAGGGAGCGCCGCGCTGTCGGAGGGTCAGCGCTGAGGGAGCGCCGCGCTGTCGTAAGTGATATCATCTTGAAGTTGAGGACGTGTCTGCCTTCATGATTAAGATAGAGAAACACTTGGCACTGTGTGAGACAAAGCAAAGAGAATGAAGGATTGGGTTTTTTTTCTGAATGGTAGGCATTGACTAGTGGGGTCTCTCGGAGATTGGTACTCGGACCCCAGCTGTTCACAATGTATGCTAATGATTTAGATGAGGGAACTAAATGTAATGACTCAAAATTTACAGATGATACAAAGCTGGCTGGAAGGGTGAGCTGTGGAGAGGATGCAGAGATGGTGCAGTCTGATTTGGACAGGCTGAGTGTTTGGGCAAATGCTTGGCAGATGCAGTATAATGTGGATAAATGTGAGGTTATCCACTTTGGTAGTAAAAATAAGAAGGCAGATTTTATTGGAATTGCTGTAAATTGAGAAAAAGGCAATGTTCAACCAGATAGTAGGAACTGCAGATGCTGGAGAATCCGAGACAACAAGGTGCAGGGCTGGATGAACACAGCAGGCCAAGCAGC